AGAGAGAGAGAGAGAGAGAGAGAGAGAGAGAGAGAGAGAGAGAGAGAACACAGGCAGGGGGAGCTGTAGGCAGAGGGAGAGGGAGAAGCAGGCTCCCCGCTGAGCAGGGAGCCCGACATGGGGCTCGATCCCAGCACCCTGGGATCATGACCTGAGCCGAAGGCAGACGCTTAATGACTGAGCCACCCGGGCGCCCCAAGGAGCCAACTGTTAAAGAGAACACAGGTGATGCACTCCGGTCTGGGAAAGGCTCTTGTCACGTCGGTGGGGCCAGCTCCCCTCTTCTGGGGGCTCAGGAGAGCGGCCGACAGGGAGGGGGCATCCCCACCACCCAGGCCCCTGGGTGCTGCACTGTCCTGCCCCTGGGCCAGGGGGGATGTTCAGCAGTACTGTGTGTTCTCCAGGCCTCACCAGTACTCAGCAAGCCGCAGGGGACAGAGAGAGGGACCTTCCCCAGCAGGACAGCACATTCCCCTGAGACCTCCCTCAGCTTCTCAGATGCTTTCCAGGCTGGACCCTGAGTACAGGAGTCCCCTGGCCCTGGGGCAGGCAGAGAATGAGGGGGCAAAGCGGAGGCGTGCTCAGCGATTAACAGTGGCCACCAGCCCTCCCACCTCCCCCGCACTGGGGCTCTGCACTTCACAGTTTGTAAGCGCTCCCCACGGCCCCCATTACTCCATCTGGCCCTTCCCACCCCGTTACAGACGGGAAACTGGCTTTCAGAAGGCAAGCTGAGGCTGAGGACCTAGGATCTCACACTCCCAGCCCAGAGAGCCCCCCCCCCACCCAGCACCGTGAGGCTCAGAGGCTCCAGGTGGAGACTTGGCAGGGACGCTGGGGCGGGGGTGGGCGGGGTTCCAGGTCACACAGGCCAGAGTTGGAATCCTTCCTCCTTCTCTTTTGGGCTGTGTGACTTCAGGCAAGTCACCTCCCCTGTCTGAGCTTTAGTTATCTGTCACAGGGGGGATATCCTGCACCCCCTCCCCAGGCAGAGCCCACCACCGCCCTTCCCTCTTCCACTTCGGGACCAGAATGCGGGGGCCACTCACTGGCTGTCCGTGGGGAGCTTGAGGTCGTCGGGGCGCACCTGGAAGAAGTTGAGGAGGTGGGGGCAGCGAGAGATCTTGACAGGCAGGCTCATGAGCGCATTGCAGTATTCGGTGAGGGTGCCCTGGCGACTCTCGGCGACCCGCTGCCCATCGAACCACCGTGGGGCTGGAGGGGCCCGGGAGGGACACCAGTGAGCACACTCCCAGGTCAAGTCCCAGAGAGGGTGGGAGTAGGGGGCACAGATCGCAGGGCAGGCGAGCGGAGCCAGGACAGGTGACCCTGCTCCTTACCTGGCAGGTGGGGGATGATCCTGTTCTGTGGGTTGATGTCCCCCGCCTCGATAGGAAACATTTCCTTTAACATTTTCTAGACACAAAAGAAAAGGCGAAGGCACATCCTTTATTACAACGCTGTCAAAGCATCAAATCGGAAATGACTGTTCTAATCACGTGGGCTAGAGACTCCGGCTGCCGTCCTTGGTCCTCTCTTTCTCTCCCACCTTACATTCATGCCGCCAGCAGATCCTTCTGGTTCTGCTCCTAAAATCCATCCAGAATCTGACCCTTCTCACTGCCCACACAGCCGCCACCTCGGGCTGAGCTTCCACCGAACCTGGATGATCACATCCTACGCCCCCTTCCATTTTTGTCCTCAACCCAGCACCCTCTTCACACTTAAATTGGATCATGTCTCTCCTCTGCTCAGAGACTTCCCTGGCTCTCAGCTCACTCAGAATGGAAGCCAAAGGCTTCACATTAGTCTACAAGGCCCCGCAGACCTGTCCTGCCTGCCTCACTCACCTCCTCTGCCACCGCCCTTGTTCACTCTGCTCCAGCCATCTCTGAATCCTGCAGGCCCACTCCTGCCCCAGGGCCTTTGCACTTGCTTTTCCCGTTCTTCCCCTGTATTTGTCAATAGCGCTTTCTCTTTCTCTTTGTCCTTTTTCAAGTCTTTGCTCAGATATCACCCCCTCAGTGAAACCTTCTCCCTGACAATTTCCCCTCCTAACTCAGTCCTCCCATCCACCACCACCCCCTGCTTTATTTTCTCTATAGTTCTAACGACTAACATACTATGTAAATTACTTATGTTTCGTTTGTCTGTTATCCTGACTCCTCTGCTAGAACTTAAGGTCCACAAGGGAGGGCAAGAACTTGGATCTTTTTTATGCCCTTGTCACCTTCAGAGCATTTCCTGCTCACCAAGTAGGACGCACCTGGGGCTTAGTAGGTGCTCGATAAATAGTTGTTAAATGAATGCATGAGTCCACCAATTAGTAAAAGGGGCTAATCCTACACTGGAACAAGCCAGAACAGTTTAAAGAGGAGAGATGGAGTCGCGCACATATCAGCAATGGACAGGTCTCAACAACGTGACCCAGTGACAGGAACAAGGCAGAGCAAGGAACAGCGGAATGCTGACGGCCTCTAGAAAGCCTGCAGAAAACGCACACTCAACACTACGGCATCTTGTTCTTAGATGTGTGTGTGTGCGCACGCACAGGTATAGTCACCCAGGCCTGGAGCTGGGACAGGACATGGGATAAAGGGTGTTTTCCACTTCTTTTGTAATGTTTCCTTTTCTTTTTATTTTTTTTTAAGATTTTATTTATTTATTTGACAGAGACACAGCGAGAGAGGGAACACAAGCAGGGGGAGTGGGAGAGGGAGAAGCAGGCCTCCCGCGGAGCAGGGAGCCCGATGTGGGCTTGATCCCAGGACCCTCGGATCACGACCTGAGCCGAAGGCAGACGCTTAACCGACTGAGCCACCCAGGTGCCCCATGTTTTATTTTTCTTATCTTAAAAAAAGCCTTGTGGGGCGCCTGGCTGGCTCAGTCTGCGGAGCTCATGACTCCGGATCTCGGGATTGTGAGTTCAAGCCCCACGCTGGGCATAGAGTTGACATTAAAAAAAAAAAAAAAAAAAAGCCTTGTAGCAAACAGCACAGTGACATCAATTGTGACTCAGGGTCCTGGGTGTGTGGGGCTGCTTATAGTCTTCACATTGATCTGCATTTTGCTTTTATTTATTTATTTACTTACTTGCTTTTTTTTTTAGGTAGGCTCCTCAGATCATGACCTGAGCTGAGATCAGGAGTCAGAAACCGACTGAGCCACCCAGGTGCCCCTGCATTTTGCTTTAAATTTTTCATACAAGAGGGGCGTCTGGCCGGCTCAATCAGTAGAGCGGGCAACCTTTGATCTCAGGATTGTGAGTTTGAGCCCCACGTTGGGTGTGGAGATTCCTTAGAAATAAAAAATATATAAAAAAAAAATTCTGGGGCGCGCCTGGGTCTTCTTCTCCCTCTGCCTGCCATTCCCCCTGCTTGTCGTTGCTCTCTCCCTGTGTCAGATACACAAATAAATCTTTAAAAAAATTCTAAGTTCGGGAGCCTGGGTGGCTCAGTCGGTTAAGCGACTGCCTTCGGCTCAGGTCATGATCCTGGAGTCCTGGGATCGAGTCCCCCATCGGGCTCCCTGCTCAGCGGGGAGTCTGCTTCTCCCTCTGACCCTCTTCCCTCTCGTGCTCTCTCTCTCTCATTCTCTCTCTCTCTCGAATAAATAAAAATAAAATCTTTAAAAAAATTCTAAGTTTATGTTCTGTGTATTTTACCACATTAAAACATACTTTAAGGAAATCTTACCACTTGCAACGATGTGGATGGAAGTAGAGGGTATTATGTTAACTAAGCGAAATAGTCAGAGAAAGACAATTGTATCATCTCACTCATATGTGGAATTTAAGAAACAAGACAGAGGATCATAGGGGAAGGGGGGGAAAGAAAATAAGACGAAATCAGAGACGGAGATAGACCATAAGAGACTCTTAACTCTAGGAAACAAACAGCGTCGCTGCAGGGGAGATGGGCGGGGAGATGGGGTAACTGGGTGATGGGCACGAAGGAGGGCACTTGATGTGATGAGCACTGGGTGTTCTGTGCAACTGATGAATTATTGAACACTACAGCTGAAACTAATAATACACTATATGTTAATCAATTGAATTTAAATAAAAAAAACAAAAAATAAATTAAAAATAAAACATACCTTAAGGAACTATTCTTTTAACTTAAGGAATAAATAATGCACCCTCAACTGTGGGCTGGGGGTGCTGTGGGTTCCTCACTTCCTGGCCAGCACCTGGGCCACCCTCGCCCTGGAAGGCAGAGCTGGGACCGGGTGTGGCATCCCCCCCCTCCCCGACACACACACACACACACACACACACACAAACAAGTGCACGGGGCACTCACGTGGAACTCGTAGATCTCCGTGAACCGCCGGTATACCACCTTCTCAGACAGGTCCTGCCACTTCACCAGAAACATGTACACCTTGGGGGGGTGACAGGGCGGGGGCGTTCAGCTTCCTGGGGGAAGCCCACGGGACCCAGGGGCAGGGGCAGGGGTGGGGTGGAGAGAGCACCCTTTGGGGCGACCTGAGCCATGGAGAGGGCACTGACTTCATGGACCCCAGAGCTCCTGCTCTCCAGCCTTAGGACCCAGGGCGAGATGTTCAGCTTCTCTCAAATGAGCTCAAATTCCTCATCTGTAAATTGGAGATAGAGGGGCTCCTGGGGCTGGTAGGAGAGTTACGGGAGGTGAGACTTAAGCCTGGGCTCAGACCATATGAGAACTCAGGGAGAGAGTGTAGGGTCCCATTTCTTTTTTTTTTTTTTTAAAGATTTTATTTATTTATTTGACAGAGAGAGACATAGCGAGAGAGGGAACACAAGCAGGGGGAGTGGGAGAGGGAGAAGCAGGCTTCCCACCGAGCAGGGAGCCCGATGCGGGGCTCGGTCCCAGGACCCTGGGATCACGACCTGAGCCGAAGGCAGACGCTTAACGACTGAGCCACCCAGGCGCCCTAGGGTCCCATTTCTACCAAACGTCCAGAATAGACAATCTACACAGACAGAAAGTAGACTAGTGGTTGTGGGGACTGGGCTGAGAATGGGAAGTTCCTAACAGGTCTGGGGTTTCTTTTGGGTGGTGATGAAAAGCTAATCTAATATTAGGGGCACCTGGGTGGTGCAGTCGGTCAAGCGACCAACTCTTCGATGTGGCTCAGGTCGTGATCTCAGGGGCGTGAGATCGAGTCCCACGTTGGGCTCCACGCTCAGCTCAAAGTCTGCTTGAGATTCTCTCCCCTTCTCCCTCTGCCCCTCCTGCTCATGCTCTCTCTCTCAAATAAATAAACACATCTTTAAAATATGTGTATATATATTGATTGTATGACGGTTGCACAACTCTGTGAATACTAAAAACCATTGTACACTTTATATGTACACTTTATATAGGTGAATTATATCTCCATGAAGCCATTATTAGGAAGAAGAAAAAAAAAAAGGAAAGAAACCTGGTAAGGCGAAACCATAAGAGAGCTAGGAGAATTCTACTCAGCCACAAAAAGGAACAAATTACTGACAGATGCATCCACACGGATGAATCTCAAAAGCATTCTGCTAAGCGAAAGAAGCCAGACACGAAAGGCCACACATGCGGTTGGTAGGATTCCATATCTGTGATAGTCTAGAACAAGCGCGACTAACTAAAGGTGGAGGGAAATCAGAACAGAGGTAGCGTCCGGGGGATGGTGGAGGAATGACTGGGGAGTGACAGAATCTGGGGGTGATGGTAACAATCTATACCTTGATGAGGGTTTGGCTTATGTAGGGACATGTACCATCAAAATTCGGCAAATATATCTCTAAGACTGGTGGATTTCATTTTACATAAATTTTACATCAAAAGAGAAAAAAACTAGGGGCACCTGGCTGACTCCATCAGTGGAGTCTGCAACTCTTGATCTCAGGGTTGTGAGTTCAAGCCCCATGTTGCGTGTAGAGACTGCTTGCAAATAAAATCTTAAAAAATGTTTTTAAGATAAAATTTAAAAAGAGAAAAAAATAAACAAATATGACCCCTAGGTAGTGATATGCATGCTTAAGTATTTAGGGCAAAGTGTACAGATGTTTGCAATTTGCTTTGAAATGCACCAAAGGGACGCCTGGGTGGCTCAGTCAGGTAAGCTAGCCAGACACCCCAAGACAACGTTTATACGTTTTTTTCTCTTTCCCTTTTTTCAGATTTTATTTGTCAGAGAGAGAGAGCACAAACAGGGGGAGAGCAGGGAGCCTGATGGGGGGCTCGATCCCAGGTCCCAGACATCATGACCTGAGCCAAAGGCAGATGCTTAACTGACTGAGCCACCCAGCCATCTGGCTTCTTTCCTTCCTTCCTCCTTCCCTCCCTCCCTCTCTCTCTCTTTTTTTCTCTCTCTTTCTTCTTTTCTTTCTGTTTTTTAAAAAGATTTTATTTATTTATTTGACAGAGAGAGACACAGCAAGAGAGGGAACACAAGCAGGGGGAGTGGGAAGGGGAGAAGCAGACTCCCTGCTGAGCAGGGAGCCCGATGCGGGGCTCGATCCCAGGACCCCGGGATCACGACCTGAGCCGAAGGCAGACGCTTAACAACTGAGCCACCCAGGCGCCCTCTTTCTTTCTTTTTTAAACATTTTATTTTTAGGGGCGCCTGACTGGCTCAGGCAGTTAAGCATCTGACTCTTGATTTTGGCTCAGGTCATGGTCTCAGGGTCGTGAGATGGAGCCCCACATCAGGCTCCATGCTCAGCATGGAGTCTACTTGAGATTCTCTCCATTTCCCTCTATCCCTGCCCCCCAGCTCATGTGCTCTCTATTAAAAAAAAATATTTTTAAACAATCTCTACACCCAATGTGTGGCTTGAACTCATGACCCCAAGATCGAGAGTTGCATGCTCCACTGATGAAGCCAGCCACCCCCTCTTTTTTTTTTTTTGCAAAGAGAAATACAGGAAAGATAAACCAGAATGAGTCTTTGAACACACCTTTTTATAAAGTTTCGATGTTTGATCACATCAAACATGTTAATATTACACACACACACACACAAAATATTACACATTTAAAAGTAAACTTAGATCAATAAGGATTTTTTTTTTAACTTCAAATTGGGAACAAACGAAAACATATGAACTTCACTATCTATCAGATGGAAAACAACCATATTAAAGAAAACTGGAAAAGAAAAAAAATCCAAGTAACTCTTAGTTACAGTATTTCTACCTTCAATCCAAAGGGGGAAAAAAAAAAACCGCAAAGAGACTTAAATTCGACCTAACAGGTTGATTGTTCATAATGGCGTGGGTGCTGTAATTCTGATAGAACTAGCTTATGTGGATTGCAGAAATGAGCAAAGGAGTCAAGATGTTAATTCAGCTGGGAGGCGGGGTAATCATGGAGAGAGAAAGGATCTATGACTATAAAGTGGTACAAGGAGAAGGAGATGGAATGGCTCTTTTCCCCGGTCTGAAAGGCCACGGGCAAAGACATCCGAAAGACAATGAGCATGCTCAGCTTCCAAATCTAGAGTTCTAACCTCACTCCCCACTGCAGAGAAACAGGGGAAACGGCGGAGTCCAGGGCTCCCGCTGGAGAGCACAGGATCAGCCTGGAACATCTCGGTACCAGAAGTAAGAATAATGCTGAGAAAATGACAGACTAGGTCAAAAAACGCAGGAGCCAGCTTGAAGGGGCTCCCAGTAGCCAGATCTGGTACGATCGGAGCATGAAATGAGTTATGATAGTGATGGATCGTAACCCACTGAATAAAAGAGAAATCCACGCATCCGTAGTGACCTAAGTGAATAGTAAGGACGAGGGGAAGAACCTTACGGTACAATGTTAACTAATAAATGCAGAAGGAACGGTAGAGTTTAAAAAATCACCGTTTGGCAATCATTATAGTAATTTGACTCAGGCAAGAGTCATCCAGGTGCTGTAGAGGGAACAGGATATTCATTTAGTTTCAGAAAATCTCCCCGCAGTTTCATTATTAATCACAAGGGGAAAACTAGTCACTTTACAGTAGAGACATCTGGTGATCCAAATTAACATCACCAACACAGGAACCAGCAAAAAATCTCCCGCCAGCTGATAAGATCAACGAGGCGAACACCGTGTCCCTTCTGGGCTATTCCTGCCACCAATACATAATCCCAATCTAATGAAGAAGGATTAGACAAATCCTTTTGCAGAAGGGACGTCCTACAAAATGACTGGCCCATGCTCTTCAAAATGTCAAAGTTGAGAAGGACAAAACAAGATTAAGACTGACCCATGGGCGCCTGGCTGGCTCAGTCGGAGGAGGGTGTGACTCTTGATCTCGGGATCATGAGTTCGAGCCCCGTGTTGGGTGCAGAGATTAAATAAATAAAACTTAAAAAAAGACTGACCCAGATTAAGGAAGTCTGAAGAGTCACGACATGTGAAATGCAGCAGGTGGTCCTGGGTTGGATCCCAGACCGCGAACATTTTTACTACAAAGGACAAGTAAGGGAAATGGTCAAATCTGAGTGAAATCCGTGGGTTGGAGAAGGGTGTATCGTCTATTAATTTGCTGATGTTGACACATTTGCATTGCGGTGGTGTAAGAGAATGCCCCTGATTTTAAGAAATACACAATAGAGGGGCACCTGGGTGGTGCAGGCGGTAAAGCATCCGACTCGGCTTCCGCTCAGGTCATGATCTTGGGGTGGTGAGGCTGAGCCCCGTGCTCAGCAGGGAGTCTGCTTGAGATTCTCTCTCCCTCTCCCCTCCTGTGCTCTCTCTCTCTCTCTCTCTCTCTCTCTCAAATAAAAAAATAAATCCTTAAAAAGTACACAGTAGTGTTCAGGAGTAAAGAAACACAATGTCTCCAATTTACTCTAGAATGATTCAGAAAAGTCCTATTCAGAGAGAGAGAAAGAGATGGGGAAGAAGAGAGACAGAGAGAGAGAGAAAGAAAGACGGAGGGAGGGGAGAGAGGGAGCACAGATGTGGGGGTTGGAGGGATATTGGGGTCATTGGTGCTTTGGGGGCAACCTTTCTGTAAGTTTGAAATTATTTCAAAATGAGAAGTGAAGAAAAAGAAGAAAGGTCTTGGCAAAGGATACTGAATGTGCCCCACAAATACCATACAATTGACAAAGCAGAGTTCCTCCCTGGCCTTCCTCTGGCCTTGGGGACCCTGTGGTGGGGTGGGGTGGACATGTCTGGGCAGCCTCCCGGGACAGGGCATGGGAGAAGGGGACATTTTTGGCCCCTTGGTGGTGTCACCCTACCGGAGGGGATCCGACTGGAATGTAACTGATCCCAGGGCCGGCTTGGGGAGACAGAGGGTTGCCGCCAGTCCTCTCCTGGAGGACGGCTCCCTGAAAGCTGGGATGGTCAGGGAGGGCTGCCAGGGTGTGAACGGGGCGCTGACAGGGGCCTCCTGGCTGGGGTGGGGGAGCAAGGAGTGAGGTGGGCTGGCAGGGGCCAGGGGCCAAGCCGCTTGTCCTCCCAGCGAGGGCCCCGGGGTGCCAGGGCGCACATCCACGGCGCGCCCCGACGGGCCAGTGGTCCTGGGAGCCGTGCGGTTACAGCGCTGCCTGGCACCTGCGCTCCCGCGACAGGCCTGTCCCTGCACGCTCGCAGGGCCCTCCCGCGGGCTACTCACGTAGTGCTGGCTGGGGACGAAGCGCTTCTCGAAGCCCAGAAGGGCGATGTGGCGTATGAAGGTGTCCCCCATGGCCGGACTGCGGGGCCTCCCCTTCTGAGGGGGTGCTCCTGGCTGGGCCTTAAATGCAGCAGAAAGAGGAAGTCACTCTGGTCTCGGCAGGGGTGGGGGCAGGAGGGGGCAGGGAGGACACAGGGAGGGCTCCGCTTCTTCTTTCAGTTTCTGGGATTCCTCTGACTCCCGTGGCCCGGACGTGGGCGGCTTCATGCAGGCATGTGGATGGGAGAGCTTGCCAGGTCGTCCCCATGGTCAGCGAGCCCCACAGTTTGGGGGGGGCACCCATCCCCCACCCCTCCCTCTGGCAACCTGTGGACCAGCCACACTGGCCTCTCTGCAGTTCCTGGAACACACCAAGCTGCTCCCAACTGCAGGGTCTTTGCTCTTGCGGGGCCACCTGGACCGTCTCCCACTTGTCTGTAACTCCCTCCCTAGGTTTTCAGGTTTCTGCTCAGATGGCGCCTCCTCCAAGAAGCCTTTCTTGATAATTTCACAAAAGAGCAAAACTTCATGCTTCCCCCCCACGCACACACCTTTCCTGTTTCGATTCAGAGCACTTACGACGACAGACATAGTGCCCATTTCGTTTTTTTTTTTTTACGATGTCTCTCCTTACCAGGATGTGAGCCCCATGGGAGTAAGGGCTTGGCCTGCTATGACAGGGCTCTGGCCCCAAGCCCTAGCCTGGTGGCTGGCTTGCAGAGAGCCCTCCCTAAATATTTGGGTAGTGGCCACGCCAGTCCCCTCCATGGGAGAGGTGCATATCTGCAGGGGTGCGTATCTGAGCGCCAGTGGCTGTGGGGACAGGCTCTGAGTGAGACCTGCGTTCAAGTGGACCCTCGGGGCTGACTCAGTTTCCTCCTGAGTGAAATGGGACCACAGGCTCTGCTGAGAGGCATGTGGGGTGGTGAGGAGGGAGCCGTGTGCTGGTGGGTGAGGGAAGGGGCTGGGGCCTCTCACACGGTGGTGGTGGTGGGGGGGGTGCCTGGGAGGCTCACAGGTTACAGTGCTGGTCCAAGGTCACAGGGCAGGTGGCCTCCACCGACCCAGGCAGTCCGGCTGCAGGCTCAGGTTGGCAGGGCCGGTTGGTGGCCCAGATGCACAGATTCCAAGACCCAGAGGCCACGGCAAAGGCCACCAGCGCTCTGAGAGCCACGGGTCCCCCTGGACTCCTGGGGGTGAGGTGGCGTCTGGCAGAGGGGAGCCAAAATGTGCTGTTTTGTGACTGTTACCATGACCGGTCAAGTTGGTGGTTGTTCCTGGTTTTGTCTAGTAAGAAGGGCAGGGGCCACATCCTCTGCACTGAGGGATTTGCTTGGCACACCCCCTGTGGTCACTAGGAGGTCACTGGCCCTGGGTGTGGCCAGCCTTGCAAGGCCCTTCTCTGGTCATCTCCATTATGTATCTAGAATCTTCCCAAGGCGCACCTGGGTGGCTCGGGCAGTTAAGTGTCTGCCTTCGGCTCAGGTCATGATCCCGGGGGCCTGGGATCGAGCCCCACATCGCATCGGGCTCCCTGCTCGGCCGGGAGCCTGCTTCTCCCTCTGCCCCTTCCCCCACCCCCTAACTCTCACAAGTAAATAAAATCTTAAAAAAAAAATAGAACCTTCCTGCATAGGAGGATACGGTGCTCAGCAACAAGGAGCTGCCGCACACAACACGGGAGGGGGAACCTTCTAGACACAGGTGGACAACAGAGCACACCTTTGGCAGGACGCCGTGTAGACCAAGCTGAAAAACCCTTGCCAGGCTCCACAGCTGGAAGGCAGGGTGACCTCCAGGGTGGGGACAGCGGTGGCCGTTAGGGAGCAGGAGGTGGTAGCTGGGCCGCCCCTTCCTGATCAGGCTGCTGGTTCTGCAAGCGTGCTCACTCTCCAATAATCCGCCCAGCCCTGGCACGCGGGGTCGCCTGCAGGGTCACGCGTGGCCCTTTGCTGTGGGTATGTCGTGCTTGAATGACAACTGCCACATGAGGAATAGGCTGGGGGCGTGGGATGGAAGGCAGAGCCTGGTAGCACAGCACGCTTGGCTCACTGCAAGTGCGCCCGCTCCTCCCCGTTCCCACGCGGTGCTGCCCTGAGGTCCCCGCATACGCGGCCCCCAGTCTGGCTCACCTGGGAGCAGTGAGGACAAGGGCCGGGGAAACCAGCAGAGCCCGCGGCCAGAGGCACTTCCCTCCCTCCCTCCTGTGGCCTTTCCACTCTTGTGTAACAGGCCCCGGGCCCTGGGGCCCCGGGCGGCGAGCCGTCGTGCAGACACCACCTTGCCACTTCCCTCTGTGGCCTCCCCGGAGCTCCTCCCGCGGCTCCCACAGCCCCCGTGGCCCCCGCGGCCAGGAACATCCACAGCAAGTCCTGTTGTTGTCGCTTGGCAGTGAGCCCTGTTGCTCGGCAGGCCCAAAGCCTTTGTGAGGCTGCGCAGGCCTGACTTGAATGCACGGGGGAGACAAGCAAGTGACCAAAGGATTCAAACAAAAAAAAAGGGAATGAGCAAATTGAAGGAATGAGACAATAAACGGATACAAGGGTTGTTTTTTTTGCGGGGCGGGGGGAGATTTAAACTTTTTTTTTTTTAAGATTTTATTTATTTGACAGAGACACAGCGAGAGACGGAACACGAGCAGGGGGAGCAGCAGAGGGAGAGGGAGAAGCAGGCCTCCCACTGAGCAGGGAGCCCGATGTGGGGCTCGATCCCAGGACCCTGGGATCATGACCCGAGCAGAAGGCCGATGCTCAATGACTGAGCCACCCAGGCGCCCCCAAGATTCAAACTTTTAGAGAAAAGTTTTAAGACTTTTATTGTGAAATACACAGAAAATTGCAGAAAAATGTACAGTTTGTGCTTATCAGATCATAATGATGAGGAAGTCGGTATTGCGGGGGCCTGGTCAGCTGCGTATTACAACCACAGCTCAGAGTGCCCCCCACGGCCCCTCGACGGCTGGCTGGAGGGCCTCGGCCTGGGGCGGAGCGCTTTGTATTTACGAACACCTTACCATCACGAGGAAGCTGTCAGGTAGGTGCTGTTATTTCCCCCCACTTTACAGACGCGAAAACTGAGGCACAGAGCCGTAAATCGGTTGTAAGGGAAGAGCTGGGATTGGAACCCAGGCAGTCGGGACCCCAGGCCCATGCTCTCAACTACTGGGCTGCCCTGCTCTGCCCTTCATCATGTGAGTGAATGATGAACACGACTGGGGTTCACGAGGAAGGAGTCGGCCTGCACGAACACCCCAAAGCAGGAGATTCTCAAATTGGGCCAGGCTGGGAAGGAGGCGGGTCTTTACCTCTTCCCAGATGCCACATTCTCCAACACCAGGCCTTCCCCACATGGGCTGGGCTGGCCAGTTCCTCCACCAGGAAATCCCCAGGGCTGGGCCGCGCTGACGGGTGGAGAAGGATGTGACATCGGAGCCCGAGGTCCAGGGAGTGCCCTCCGGGGTCTTGTGTCAAGAGAGGGAATCCAGGGGTTTCCAGGATGGGAACAAATTCAGCCATCGTTATGAGGCTGTTAGGAGTTCCTTCCCAAGCGTAACTTAAAGCCCACCTGCTGCCCCTCCTTGGGTGAGAACAGCCTGGATCAGCAGCCTGAGGACGCCCGGGGCCAGCCGTCAGGAATGGTTCTCTCCTGATGCCCACACTGGTGGGATGGGGCGCCCCCCCCCCGAGGCGCCGCTGCCTGGCGGGCAGCTGAACCACTGGGAAGGGACACTGGCTGTGAGGGGTCAAGGCTCTTAACTGCAAGGAGGTGTCTGCACGCAGAAATGCGGTTGCTGGAGATCAGCTTCCCAAGGGGCCGCAAGCCTTCCGTTTCTCAGGAAACTGGACCAGAAATGGGCTCTGGGTGGGTCGGGGATGAACCCTGAGGCCTCATCAGAAGAGAACCAGGTGCCTGCCTCAAGAGAGGGCTCGGGACACACCAGAGTCCCACCCCTGGGAATTTCTTCTCCCCTGGGCCGGGGGCCTCGGAAGTGGGGGCTCCGACCCCGCCTTTGGTCTGCAGGAGGCGACGCCCCTGGGGAGGGCACATCCATGCCGCCTGCTGGACACACACACACACACCTGCTTTGGACTCGGAGTCCTTCATTTCTGGTTGGGAGCCCCTTGGCAAGTTAACTCGGAGCCTTCGTGTTTTCACCTGTAAGATGGCAGGGACAATGATACTTATTTCGCGGACTGTTGCATCGCGTGAGATTCCAGTGCTTAGCGTGGCAGGTGGCCTTCACCAGCCGCAGACTGTGCACAAGGCCGCCCCTGAGGTCAGTAGAGCGGAGGGGCACAGGTCCACTCCACCAGCCTGAGTCAGGGCGCTTTCTCGCTGTTGAACCTGGGCCTTGAATGAAGGAGGGGCCGCATGAATGACAGCAGGCACTCCAAGCTCCGGGGAAGAGCGTGAGGTTCAGTCGCCTGGGGCAGGCTCTTGATTGGTTGAGTTGTCACCTGAGGCTGGGACAGGGGCTTTCCTGACAAGATCAGGCAGAGGACAGAAACCAAGGCCACGGGCTGCAGCCCAGGGCTTTCCTCAAGGCACTGCAGCGTGTGGCAGAGCTCCTGACACCAAGCGGGTCTGGCAGATGCTGGGCTGATGCGTGGAATTTTGCAAGCCTGCCTCCTCCCTGGAGGGCTGTCTGGGGGCCCTCAGGGCCTGGCCCGTGCCCGCCTCTCCAAACCCATGGCCTGCCTGGCTGGCTGGGCCCAGATGTGTCATGCAAAGGGAGCTATTTGAAGCTCCTCAACCAACCACAAAGGATAAATCCAGCAGCAAGCTGCCACCGCAGGGGATTTTGTGATCTTTGAACCTGAAGCGAACTCCAGTAATGACAGAAATCATGCCCCAGATGCAGTCACCAGGCCTGGGCTGCCACTGACAAATCTGTCTAGCCCCAGGACAGCCGGAGGGGCAGTGGTCTGCGACCTGTCAAGGGCTCCAGTACCTCTGCCCCTTCCAAGGGGATACAGAAAGGCACACAGGCACGGATCGAGGGACGGTCACCTCAGGTGGTGTACGAAGGTGTGAAGCGGCTGCTCGTGCCATTTTGCAGCATCCTGTCTTGCATCAAGCTCCAGGCCCA